GTGACCCCTGGCCATCGATGATGGGAGTTGGCAGCTCCTGGCTGACTTCAGATTTCGGTATCCCGTATCTAACTCCCTCTCAGGCCCATCCCGGTGTCACTGGCCATGAGAGGTAGGCAGGCGGTATTTAGGGAATGCTGGGACAATAGAGTCTAACAAACGTGGTCTTGGGAGATTTCAGTTCCTTGCTTGAGTGAATGCTTTGGTCATAGCTCCTTAGGTTTCTTCTCTCACACTTCCACAATAATCCTAAGGGATTATTTTTATTGATTATTATTATATGGGCTGGAGCGATAGCACAGCGGTAGGGCATTTGCCTTGCATGCAGCCAACATGGCCGACCCGAGTTCGATTCCTCCGCCCCTCTCGGAGAACCCAGCAAGCTACCAAGAGTATCTCGCCCGCAGGGCAGAGCCTGGCAAGCTACCTGTGACATATTCGATATGCCAAACACAGTAACAACAAAGTCTCCAATGAGACGTTACTGGGCCCGTTCGAGCAAATCGATGATCAACGGGAGGGCCTTTACCTTTATTATTATATATTATATTTTTATTGATTATTATTATTATTGATTATTATGGAGGCCACAGGAAATCGTAGAGAAAGGGTGTTTTTTCACCAGCAGCCACAGTCATTTATCTCTTAAATAGCCTAGCCTTTAAAAAGAAAGGGCAACGCCCACTTTGGGAACAATTGTAAATTTGGTTGGGAAGGGGCTTGTGTGGGAAGGGTTGGGGAAGCACACCTAGCAATGCTCAGAATTATTCCTGGTGGTGTTCGGGGATGGGATGCCGAGTGTCAAACCTGGATCAACCTTGTGCAGCGCCCTGTCTGCTGTACTCTCTCTCCAGCCCCCCAATTCCAGTTTTTAACCACAAACGTCAATTACGGCATGCTTCCTGCCAAGCATACTGTTTTTGGTTTTATTTTTAGTTCTATTCACTAGCATGTAGGTTTTATCCTGCCATAGTGTTTCCATTGCCTTTCTTTCAAATAATAATCCTGCCTCTTGCTTCAATAAGGAAATTGAAACTACAGAAGAGAATCTCTGCAGTCACATGCCCATATACACTACTTTTTCACTCTCCTACAAATGAACTGACTACATTATTGAGTGCGGATTTTCATACCCTTTGTTTTATGAAGTTCTGAACTCCACCCACCAATCCCACCACTTCAAAAGTAAACAACTCAGGTGTGTGTTTTCACTATAACTACTTAGCATAAAGCCCTCAAGTTTCACTTTGTAACATATTGCAGAATTTCCTTCCTTTCAAATGATCAGTATTACTTTTTGAAATCTTTACTCCATTTATCAATCGTTACGTATTCATATTTCTACATTTTTGGTGTTGTGAATAATGTTAGTATAAAGGTGAATTTGTAAATATCTCTTCAGGATTCTACTTTTAATTGTTTGGGTACATACCCAGAAGTGGAGCTGCTGGACCATATGGGAATTCTACTTCTAATGTCTTTTGGGGGTGCTGTCACAGGCACACTGTACAGTGGTACTCAGAGCTTTACTCCTGGATGGATCTTTGCTCAAGAATCACTGCTCAGGGCTGGAGCGATAGCACAGCGGGTAAGGCATTTGCCTTGCACGCAGCCAACATGGCCGACACAGGTTCGATTCCCAGCATCTCATATGGTCCCCCGAGCACCGCCAGGAGCAATTCCTGAGTGCATGAGCCGGGAGTAACCCCTGAGCATCGCTGGGTGTGACCCAAAAAGCAAAAAAAAAAAAAAAGAATCACTCCTCAGCAGACCGTATGTGGTAGCGGGAACTGAAGAGCATGCGAAACAAGTGACTTAACTCCTTTATTATCTATCTGGCTCTTCACTTTTAAATTTTAATTTTCTTAAATTGTTCAGTAATGTATTACATTCAGTATCCCAACTGTGAGGCAAAGAAAGAAACTCATATGCACCATGACAGGCTCCAGCTTAGTTATCCAGGCCTAAGTTTCTGTTTTTAAAGTATAGTTTTTGAGCTCCTGAGACTCTCCTTGCCTGAAGCTGGAAATCCCCTAGATGCCACTAACCGATCATATGATAGGCAGGATATCTCTGGGCACAGCAGGTGGACTTGACCAATCAGTTTTCAAGACTCTGCTTTGTTGTAATTCTTGGAAAAACTGCAAACTGTAACCAATAACTGTGCCAACTTTTCTTATGTAACCATGTGTTATATAATGTCCTCTGAAACTAGAGTCAGGGTCCTTGTCAAGACTCCAGTGCTTGGATGAGACTTGGATCCTAACAAGCTAGAAATAAAGGTTCCTTTTCTATTGCGTTCTCACGTGTGGAATTGTCTCTCTGCGAACTGGAAACCCAATCCCACCACCATTATACCTTTCCACCACCACCATTTCCTGTTTTCCCAACCACCACCCAAGCCTGCCCCAATAGCAGGCCCGAAATGATATATTTGTATTGTTTGTTATGATTTAGACAGTATCTGTATCTCTTTTTTTGGGGGGGGGGGTCATACCCAGTGGTACACAGGGGTTACTTCTGGTTTTGCACTCAGGTATTACTCCTGGTTGTGCTTGGGGGACCATATGGGATGCTGGGAATCGAACCTGGGTCAGCCACATGCAAGGCAAACGCCCTACCTGCTGTACTGTTGCTCTGGACTGGAGCGATAGCACAGCGGGTAGGGTATTTGCTTGCATGTGGTCAACCCGTGTTCGATCCCTCAGCCCCTCTCAGAGAGCCCGGCAAGCTACCAAGAGTATCCCGCCCGCAGGGCAGAGTCTGCCAAGCTCCCTGTGGTGTATTAGATATGCCAAAAACAGTAAAAACAAGTCTCACTATGGAGATGTTACTGGTGCCCTCTCGAGCAAATCGATGAACAACTGAAGGACAATGCTACAGTGCTTGTTATGATTAATTGGCTAAAAATGATCAAAAAAAGATTTCCTTAGAAGTAAGTGTGTGAAAATTGTTGTATCTCACCACCCTAGAGACATAAGGCTCTTATATAAGAGATTACTAACCTATTGTTACAGGACGAGATTGGGCGCGTTCAGGGTGGTTACAGGACAAGCCTTGTGTGTTAAGGTAAGGTAAGGTAAAAGCCCTCCCGTTGATCGTCGATTTGCTCGAGCGGGCCCAGTAACGTCTCCATTGGAAACTTTGTTGTTACTGTGTTTGGCATATTGAATACGTCACAGGGAGCTTGCCAGGCTCTGCCGTGCGGGCGAGATACTCTCGGTATTGGTTGCCTTTTACTTTACATCCTCTCCGATGTGGTGTGCTACTCCTGGTATATCAGTGATGCAGAATAAGAGATGTTGGACTAGTTAGTTGGCTTAGTCTCATGGTACCCTGAGCATGAATGATTCCTGAATGCAGAACTAGGAGTAACCAGGGAAATTATGGAGAAAGGTAGTTTTTGGTGGGGGAAGGATGGGGGAGCACCTGAGCACTGTCGGGAATGATCCAAAAAGTCAAAGAGAAAATTGTATCTCTGTAATGCTAGACTAACCATCAATCCTTGTACAGCTGGGAGACAGACTTGAACTTAATCTTCTAAAGTTTTATTATTTTGGTTTGGGGGTGCTGCTGGCAGTGCTCAGGCTACTCCTAGTCTATGTTTGGGGTAGCTCTCAGAGGTACTAGGGGCAGGGCCAGGGACCAAACCCAGGCCTCCGGCAAGCAAAGCACACACTCAGTTCTTTGAATTGTCCCTCAGTCCCCAGGTCTTCCAAATTCTTATTCTGTCATCTCCGTAAATTCTAGGTATTGAAGGACATGAAAGACAAATTTCCTTCCTTTCTTCTTGAACCTCAAAAGTCCTCATTTCTTAGTGCTACCCATAATGAAGTTGGTGGGTGGTATTAGCTAGAATGTGTTGAATCTTTTTTTTCCTTTATTCTGGGTCTACTCCACACCCATCATCAGCCTTGCTGTTTGGGACTCAAATATCAATATGCAGAGCTATTATCAGAAAAATCTCACTCTGTGTCCCCCAAAACTGAAGGGCAAAATGCTTGTTTTTCTGATGCTTTAATCCATTTTCTTTCCTTAGTGTCAGTGTCTTTTTATTAATGTCCTATCAGGGACCAGAGTGGGGGGTGGGGCACTTGCCTTGCATGTGGTGGACTCAGGTTTGATCCCTAGCTCCTCATATGGTCCACCAGCCCTGCCAGTTGTGATCTCTGACTGCAGAGCCAGGAATAAGCCCTGAGCAACCACCAAGTGTAACTCCCCACACTCTCCCAAAAAACGCAAAAGTTAATATCAAAGAAATTATTTTTGTATTCAGGTAATTTCCTTCAGATAGCCTTTAGGGAAGGAAGTGGATAAAGACAGACTATTCTGTCTCATGGCCTCCAGAGAGTGAACACCAGTGGTTGTTGGGATGTTTTTCTACTTTTAGGCATATGTTAGTGTCTGGTATCTCTCTCTACCTTTCCTGAAGAATCAATACTTGAGGAAAAGGAACACATCATAATGCTTGGGAGAATCTCCTCTTTATTCCACAGATAGAAACTCGTTTCTGGAGTAGACAGAAAAATTACTTTGACCTGGTCCCACTTCACTGTTGACCATAAGGATAAAGGTCTAGAATCTGGTGAGCAGGCATTTCTCTAGTGAAAATAAAAAATCCTCAGAGGCATAAATATCTCTTAATAAATGTCTTTTACTCCATTAACTCTGCTAAGTTCTTTTAATTCCTGAACCCATATCCTATAGTTCTAGATTCATTTTTATAAAAATGATTTGCATGCTACTTATAACAATGCTAGCCTTCTATCGGTGAAAATGATGTGTGCTAAGAGAAAAGTTTACTAAAAGTGTATCAGTCATTTAAAAGTAAATGTAATCGGAAAGATAATGATGTGAGGAGAGACACATATAGAAGTATGAAGCTGTGCTCCAAAAATTTATAAAGTGTTGTAAACCAATTATAATCTGTAAATTCTTAATTAAAATATATTAATTTTAAAAAAAGAAAAGAAAAAATCCTGACCTCCTGTCAGTTCCAGTTAGAGAATATGAACAGTAACGTGGGACATTTTCTTGGTGAAGTGAGTGTCAGCTTGGGGCAGGCTTTTCCAGGCAAGTTCTAAGATCCCATACCGGGCAATGCCCATAGGAAGGATGGGATGCACATTATTCTGATCTGGGAGTGATACCACCTCCTGGAACTTCAGATGACCCTGACAGGCTTGATAGGTACCAAAAGACAAGTGATAAAGCAAACGCTCCCCAGGAGCTAACTCCATGGCCTTTAGGAACTCTTCGTCTATAATCTCTTGAGATTGGGGTTCCTCCCTCAGCAACAAATCCTGTAGAAGCCCCTGGATTTGTGGGGACTTAAGTTGGTACAGTTCCATGATATGGTAGAACTGTTCCATCCAAGCAGCTCTATCTTTTGCATTTCGCATCTGCAACTTCCGCAAAACATAGTACAGTGCCACAAATGTCTCCCATTGTGGCACCTCTTCTTTTCTTTCAGAGATGCGCTGTGCTTTCTTCTCCAATTTAGGTAATTTGGTATATCCTCGTCTGTCCTCAGAAGTCCAGAAGTCCTTTTGAAATATTAGTGCCAGAGTTTGCTGGGCCACGGAGTCACGGACATCTGCAGTAATATTGCTTGGAGAAGGAAAAAAATGTTGCATCTTCATCTCCCTGAGAGTGTTGAATATCTGTTTTTTCCGTGCACTCCTGGAGGGCTCTTCTAAAATGTGCCAATTTTCAGCCCTTGTGTGCAGAATCCTCTTGGGAACTAATTGGGACGTTAATGTAGAATCAGCTGAAGGTTTGGGCCAGCTTTCCTTTTCTTTTCTTTTTATAGGAGGGATCACTCTCAGGTATTTGAGACCCATGATCTCCTTACTGGGTTTTGAAATGCTTGTGCTCTGTGGTTCCAGGACCTGCTTGTGACGGTGCACAATAGCTTCAAGTAGAGACAGATTCATCCCCTCTAAACTTTCCTTTGTTGTGAAATTTTTGAGAAGCTGACACAGTCTGTGGAAATTATCCCTGGAAAGTTGCTCTCCTGCTTTCATCTGTTCCAGAATATGGTGTATCCACTCTTTATCTGACAGGCTTAGTTCCTCTGTAACTATTTTCTCCGGCAGAATTTGGGGCACAGGTAATTTTCCCTTAGCCTTAGGTAATTTTTCTCTCAGAGATGGACGATGCTGCAAAATCCACTGCCATTTGGTCCCTAGCGATTTGCCTTGAAGTGTCTGGGCTTTCATGGTCTTCCTTAATATATGGGTTACAAATGGGGTCTTTTTATCTAGTTCTTGGGATTCCAAAATTGTATCTAAACCTGATAAAGGTATGGGTGTATAGACCTCTAACAGTTCTTGTTTATCCATTGGTCTTTTCCATGGGAGTATCCTGAGTATTTCATGTACCTTATCTTTCTGGGATATATGTTTCAGTGACTCTAGCTCTAACATCTCTGATCTCCCCAAAGATTCTGAGGATGGTGTCTTGATAGGGCTTTTCAGAATACCTGTTTTTACATCTTTGACCTCAGGGATTATTTGTCCCATTGAAGGGACTCTTTCTCTTCTTCTTAGATCCTTTCTTTTTGGTAACTTAAATAGTTTTTCTTTTATTTTTTCCTCCTTGTCTACCATCACTTCTTCCAGTGAAGTCCTCTCTTTCTCACTCCTTCTTTCCTCTTCCTCCTCCTCTTCTCCTTTCTCCTCCCTCTCTCCCTCTTTTTCTTCCTTCTCCTCCCTCTTTTCTTCCTCCACCTCGACCTTCTTTCCTTCCTTTACCTCTTTTGTCTCTTCCCCCTCAACCTTTTTTTCCTTCTTTCTCTTTACCTTCCCTTCTTTCTTCTCGTCTTCCTCCAAGTCTTTTTTTCTCTTTTCTATATCCTCTTCCTTCTCTCTCCCCTTTTTCTCTCTCTTTTCTTTTCTCTCTTTTTTCTCTTCCCCCTCCTTTCTCTTCCTTGTCTCTCCCTCTGTTTCCTCCTCCTCTACCTTTCTCTTCTCTCTCATATCCTTTCCTTCTTCCTTATCCATTCTCCTATCCTCTTCTTCCTCCTTTATCTTCTTTTCTCCCCTTTCTATCTCCTTCCCCACTTCTTTCTCCATCACAGTTACTTGTTCCATTCTATCTAACAGACTTTCCAATTCCTTAGAAAATATCTCTTCTTTCTCCAGTTCGCCCACTTGACTGGGAATCTCTTCCTGTGACATATCAACTCTCTTTAGCTTTTTGCTTTTTTTCAACATCTGTTTAAGGAATTGAATATCTTCTTTATCCTCCTCTTCTTCCTCCTCTTCTTCTTCCAGTTCCTCCTCTTCAAGGATGGATCTCCTCCTTTTGGCTATTTCACTTTCTTCCTCACATAGTCTTTCCTCTGTTTGTATTATTTTTTCCACTTCATCAGCCAATTTTCTCTGATTTTTAGCCAGTTTCTTCTCACCTTCTATTATTTCTAATTGTTCCTCTGAAGTATCCCACTCTTTACTATCAAGAATATTCTGGTTTTCATCCAGTTTGCTTTCCTTTAATAAGAGTGATCTCACTCTCTTTGTTAACTGTCTTTTTTCCTTGGTTATTTTTGTTTCTTGTTTGACAAGATTTTGAAGTGCTTTTAAGATTTTGTTGCTTATCTCTGGGTCCTCGTAAATGCTTTTGCCTTTGGTAAGCATTGTCGTTAGTTTGGCTAGCTTCCTTTCTTCCTGGACATGAATTCTATTTTCCCTAGTACATTCCATTTCTTCTTTGAGAAGGTCCTTTTTCTCTGTGGCCAGCATCCTATCTTCAAATAACAGTATCTTTTCCTCTAGTGACAATTTCCTCTTAACTAGTTCTAATTCATTCTCAATTGATTTTCTATGCATTGAGGTTGTTTCTATCTCTCCCTGGGATAGCACTTGTTTCTTGTAAGCCATTCTCACCTTCTCCAGGGACAATCTCTTAATCTCTGTAGCCAGTGTATTTTCTTCTTTGGCTATATCCCACTTTCCTTTGAGCAATTTCCACCCTTGAAACCTTACTCTTTTCTCTATAGCTAGTTTAATTTTATCCAGGGCTAATTTCCGCTGGTTCTCAGCTAGGTTCTGCTCATCTTGACACAATTTTTTCTCAGCAACAGCCAGTTCCACTACCTTCTGTAAAACTGTCCCCTCTTCCTTCATCAGCTTCACTTGCAGTTCATCTATTTTATCCTTCCAGGTATCAGTTTTCTCTCTTACTTGGTCCAGTATATTTCTTTGGTTGCTGTAGTTTAGTTTGTAATGAAACAAGTTCTCTTCCCTCTTAGTCAGTACCTCCTTCTCCTGAACGAGTTTCTCTTTTTCAAGAACTATAGTGTTAATTTTCTGAGATAGTATATTCTTTTTCTGTGTGATTATATCCTTGTTTTGGTTCAGTTTTTCCATTTCCTTGTCCAGTTTTTGCTTTTCATATATCAGTTTCTCCCTTTTCTGCACCAGTATTTTCTCTTTCTCAGGTAGTTTTTCCTTTCTGTTGGCAAGCTCTTCCTGGATCAGCAGCTCTTCCTCCAAGTTCAGCTTTTTTTCTTCCTCAGTCAACTTCTTCTCTTGTAGGATCAATGTCTTCTCTTCTTGAGCCAATTCCTGTTCTTCAACATCTAGTTTATACATTTTCTGGTTCAGTTCCTCTTCTTTACAAACAAGTTCCTCATCCTCCCACACTAGTTCTTCCAACTCCTCTGTTAGTTCCTTTTCTTTATCATTCAGTTGTTGCTCCCACTGGTCAAGTTTTTCCACTTTATCAAATAGTAAAAGTTCTACTTTAGCCAATTTTGCTTCCTTATTTACTATGTTTACTTTTTCTTCAGTTAGTGCCTCCAAATTTGTAGCCAATTCCTTCCTTTTCTGAGCCAAATTCTCTGCTTCCTGACTTAAGTTTTCCTCTTCATGGGCAAGCTTTCCCCCTTCCTGAAAAAGAATGGTCTTTGACTGAGTAATTGTCTTATCTCTTTGAGCCAATTTCCACTCTTCTTCAGCCAATTTTCTCTCTTCTTCAGCAAGTTTTCTTTCTTCTCTTGCTAGTTTCTCCTCCTGTTGTGCAAGTTTCCTTTTTTCTTGGGCTTGTTTCTTTAGAGATTTGTTCATTATCCTCTCCTCCTGAATCTGTTTATAATCTTTCTTGATCCATCTCTCTTTTCCCACCACCTCTTCTTGTTCTGGTTCTTCTGGTTTTTGAAATTGTTGTTCTTCTCTTCCTTTTTTCCTTTCTAGTTTTTTATCTTTTTCTAGGTCTTCTTGTGTTTCTTTTATTTTATGCTCTTGTATATCTTCCTTTTGTATTTCTTCCTGTTGTTTTTGTTGTTCTAGTTGTTTCTGTTTTTCTTCTAGCTTTTTAAATTTTTTTCGTTTTCTCTCTAGAGGTTTTTGTCCTTTTAGTTGCTTTTGTTCTCGTTTTTGTTCTAATTGAGTTCGTTCTAGTTCCTTTTGTTCTTCTAGTTGTTTTTGTTGCTCTATTTTTCCCCCTCGGTCTTCTTTTTCTAGTTGTTTTTGTTCTTTCAGTTGTTTTGGTTCTTGTAATTTCTGTTGTTTTTGTTCTTCTGGTTGCATGTGTTCTTCTAGTGTTTGTTCCAATTGTTTTTGTTGTTCTAGTTGTTTTAGTTCCTCTACTTGTTTTCTTTCTAGTTGGTTTTGTTGTTCTATTTGTTTTTCTTCTAGTTCTTTTTGTTGCTCTAACTGTTTTTGTTTTAATTCTTTTTGTTGTTCAAGTTCTTTTTGTTCTTGTTTCTGTTCCAGTTCTTTATACTGTTCTAGTTCTTTCTGTTCTTCTAGTTGGTTCTGTTCTAACTGTTTTTGTTGTTCCAGTTCCTTTAATTGTAGTAGTTTTTGCCCTAGTCGATTTTGTTCTTCCAGTTGCCTTTGTTCTAGTTGTTTTTGTTCTTCCAGGTGCTTGTGCTCTAGTTGTTTTTGTTCTTCTAGTTGTTTATGGTCTAGTTGTGTTTGTTGTTCTAGTTGTTTTTGTTCTTGTTCTAGCGATTTTTGTTCTAGCTGTGCTTTTTGTTCTCCTTGTTTTTGCTCTAGTTGTCTCTGTTCTTCCCGTTGTTTTTGTTGTAGTTGTTCTTGCTGGTATAATTGTTTTTGTTTTAGTTGTCTTTGTTCTTCCAGTTGCTTTTGTTCTAATTGTTTTAGTTCTAATTGCTTTTGTTCTGGTTCTAGTGGTTTTTGTTCCAGTTGTTTTCGCTCTTTTAACTGATTGTATTCTAGTTGTTTTTGTTGTTCTAGTTGTTTTTTCTCTAGTTGTTTTAGTTGTTCTAGTTGTTCTTGTTCTAGTTGATTTTGCTTTTGGTCTATTTGTTTTCGTTCTTGTTCTAGTTGCCTTTGTTCTAGTTGTTTTTGCTGTCTAAGTTGATTTTGTTGTTCTAGATGTTTTTGTTCCAGTTCTTTTTGTTCCTGTAGTTGCCTTTGTTTTAGTTGTTTTCCTTCTTCCAGATGTCTTTGTCCTAGTAGTTTTTGCTCTAATCCTTTTTCTTCTTCTAATTGCATTTGTTCTAGTTCTTTTTGTTCTCCCATTTGCTTTTTTTCTAATTGTTTTTGTTCTTCCAGTTGCTCTTGCTCTAGTTGTGTTTGTTGTTCCAGTTGTTTTTTTCCAAATTCTAGGGATTTTTGTTCTAGTTGTGTTTTATGTTCTAGCTGCTTTTGCTCCAATTGTCTTTGTTGTTCCCGTTGTTTTTGTTGTAGTTGTTCTTGCTGGTGTAATTGTTTTTGTTCTAGTTGTTTTTGTTCTTCTAGTTGTTTTTGTTCTAGTTGCTTTTGTTCTAGTTGCTTTTGTTCTGGGTCTAGTGGTTTTTGTTCTAGTTGTTTTTGCTCTTCTAGCTGGTTGTATTCTAGTTGTTTCTGTTGTTCTAGTTGTTCTTTCTCTAGTTGTCTCTTTTTTTCTAGTTGTTCTTGTTCTAATTGCTTTTGCTCTTGATCTATTTGTTTTCGTTCTTGTTCTAGTTGCTTTAGTTGTAGGTTTTTTTGCTCCTGGAACTGATTTTGTTGCTCTAAATGTTTTTGTTCTAGTTTTTTTTGTTCCTGTAGTTGCTTTTGTTTTAGTTCTTTTCCTTCTTTCAGATGCTTTTGTTCTAGTACATTTTGCTCAAGTCCTTTTTGTTCTTCCAGTGGCCTTTGTTCTAGTTGTTTTTGTTCTTCTAGGTGCTTGTGCTTTAGTTGTGTTTGCTCTTCTAGTTGCGTTTGGTCTAGTTGTGTTTGTTGCTCTAGTTGTCTTTGTTCTTGTTCTACTGATTTTTCTTGTAGTTGTTTTTTTTGTTCTAGTTGCTTTTCCTCCAGTTGTCTTTGTTGTTCCCATTGTTTTTGCTGTAGATGTTCTTGTTGGTGTAATTGTTTTTGTTCTAGTTGTTTTTGTTCTTCCAGTTGCTTTAGTTCTAATTGCTTTAATTCTAATTGCTTTTGTTCTGGTTCTAGTGGCTTTTTTTCCAGTTGTTTTTGCTGTTCTAACTGATTGTATTCTAGTCGTTTTTGTTGTTCTAGTTGCTCTTTCTCTAGCTGTTTTTGTTTTTCTAGTTGTTCTTGTTCTAGTTGCTTTTGCTCTAGATCTATTTGTTTTTGTTCTTGTTCTAGTTGCTTTTGTTCTAGTTGTTTTTGCTGTCTAAGTTGATTTTGTTGATCTAGATGTTTTTGTTCCAGTTCTTTTTGTTCTTGTAGTTGCTTTTGTTTTAGTTGTTTTCCTTCTTCCAGATACAGTAGTTTTTGCTCTAGTTCTTTATGTTTTTCTAGTTGTTTTTGTTCCAGTTGTTTTTGTTCTTTCATTTGCTTTTGTTCTAGTTGTTTTTGTTCTTCTAGTTGCTCTTGCCATAGTTGTTTCTGTTCTTCTAGTTGTTTTTGGTCTAGCTGTTTTTGTTTTTCTAGTTGGTTTTTTTTAAGTTCTAGGGATTTTTGTTCTAGTAGTGTTCTATGTTCTAGTTGCTTTTGCTCCAGTTGTTTTTGTTGTTCCCATTGTTTTCTCTGTAGATGTTCTTGTTGGTGTAATTGTTTTTGTTCTAGTTGCTTTTGTTCTTCTTGTTGCTTTTGTTCTAGTTGCTTTTGTTCTAGTTGCTTTTGTTCTGGGTCTAGTGGTTTTTGTTCCAGTTGTTTTCGCTCTTCTAACTGATTGTATTCTAGTTGTTTTCGTTGTTCTAGTTGTTTTTTCTCTAGTTGTTTTAGTTGTTCTAGTTGTTCTTGTTCTAATTGCTTTTGCTCCTGATCTGTTTGTTTTCGTTCTTGGTCTAGTTCCCTTTGTTCTAGTTGTTTTTGCTGTCTGAACTCATTTTTCTGTTCTAGGTGTTTTTGTTCCAGTTCTTTTTGTTCTTGTAGTTGCTTTTTATTTAGTTGTTTTCGTTCTTCCACATGCTTTTGTTCTAGTACTTTTTGCTCTAATCCTTCTTGTTCTTCTAGTTGCTTTTGTTCTAGGTGTTTTTGTTCTTCTAGTTGCTCTTGCCATAGTTGTTTCTGTTCTTCTAGTTGGTTTTGGTCTAGTTGATTTTGTTTTTCTAGTTTGTTTTTTTCAAGTTCTAGGGATTTTTGTTCTAGTAGTGTTCTATGTTCTAGTTGCTTTTGCTCCAGTTGTTTTTGTTGTTCCCATTGTTTTCTCTGTAGATGTTCTTGTTGGTGTAATTGTTTTTGTTCTAGTTGCTTTTGTTCTTCTTGTTGCTTTTGTTCTAGTTGCTTTTGTTCTAGTTGCTTTTGTTCTGGGTCTAGTGGTTTTTGTTCCAGTTGTTTTCGCTCTTCTAACTGATTGTATTCTAGTTGTTTTCGTTGTTCTAGTTGTTTTTTCTCTAGTTGTTTTAGTTGTTCTAGTTGTTCTTGTTCTGATTGCTTTTGCTCTTGATCTATTTGTTTTCGTTCTTGGTCTAGTTGCCTTTGTTCTAGTTGTTTTTGCTGTCTGAGTTTATTTTGCTGTTCTAGATGTTTTTGTTCCAGTTCTTTTTGTTCTTGTAGTTGCTTTTCTTTCAGTTGATTTTGTTCTTCCAGATGCTTTTGTCCCAGTAATTTTTGCTCTAATCCTTCTTGTTCTTCTAGTTGCTTTTGTTCTAGTTGTTCTTCTTCTTTCAGGTGCTTGTGCTCTAGTTGTTTCTGATCTTCTAGTTGTTTCTGGTCTAGTTGTATTTGTTGTTCTAGTTGTTTTTTCTCTTGTTCTAGTGATTTTTGTTCTAGTTGAGTTTTTTGTTCTTGTTGCTTTTGCTCTAGTTGTCTTTGTTGTTCCCATTGTTTTCTCTGTAGATGTTCTTGTTGGTGTAATTGTTTTTGTTCTAGTTGTTTTTGTTCTTCCAGTTGCTTTTGTTCTAGTTGCTTTTTCTCTAGTTGCTTTTGTTCTGGTTCAAGTGGTTTTTGTTCCAATTGTTTTCGCTCTTCTAACTGATTGTATTCTAGTTGTTTATGTTGTTCTAGTTGTTTTTTTTCTAGTTGTTTTAGTTGTTCTAGTTGTTCTTGTTCTAGTTGCTTTTGCTCTTGATCTATCTGTTTCTGTTCTTGGTCTAGTTGCCTTTGTTCTAGCTGTTTTTGTTGTCTAAGTTGATTTTGTTTTTCTAGATGTTTTTGTTCTAGTTCTTTTTGTTCCTGTAATTGCTTTTGTTTTAGTTGTTTTCTTTCTTTCAGATGATTTTGTTCTAGTAGTTTTTGCTCTAGTCCCTTTTGTTCTTCTAGTTGCTTTTGTCCTAGTTGCTTTCGTTCTTCCAGTTGCTCTTGCCCTAGTTGTTTCTGTTCTTCTATTTGTTTTTGATCTAATTGTGTTTGTTGCTCCAGTTGTTTTTTTTCAAATTCTAAAGCCTTTTGTTGTAGTTGTGTTTTTTGTTCTAGCTGCTTTTGCTCTAGTTGTCTTTGTTGTTCCCATTGCTTTTGTTGTAGATGTTTTTGTTGGTGTAATTGTTTTTGTTCTAGTTGTTTTTGTTCTTCCAGATGCTTTTGTTCTAGTTGCTTTTGTTCTAGTTGCTTTTGTTCTGGGTCTAGTGGTTTTTGTTCTAGTTGTTTTTGCTGTTCTAACTGATTGTATTCTAGTCGTTTTTGTTGTTCTAGTTGCTTTTTCTCTAGCTGTTTTTGTTTTTCTAGTTGTTCTTGTTCTAGTTGCTTTTGCTCTAGATCTATTTGTTTTCCTTCTTGTTCTAGTTGATTTTGTTCTAGTTGTTTTTGCTGTTCGAGTTGTTTTTGTTGTTCTACATGTTTTTGTTCCAGTTCTTTTTGTTCCTGTAGTTGCTTATGTTCTAGTTGTTTTCTTTCTGCCAGATGTTTTTGTTCTAGTTTTTGTTTTTCTAGTTTTTCTTCTTGTTGGGCTTGCTCTTGTTCCAACTGATCATGTTCTAGCTGTTTTTGTTGTTCTACTTGTTCTTGTTCTGATAGTTTTTGTTCTAGTTGTTCTTGATCTAGTTGTTTTTGTTGTTCCAGTTGTTTCTGTTTTAATTGTTCTTGTTCTGTTTTTTTCTGTCTTCGTTGTTCTAGTTGCTTCTTTTCCAGATGTTTTTGCTTCAATTGTTTTTGTTGTTCTAGCTGTTCTAGTTGCTGTTGTTTTTGCTGTTCTAGTTGTTTTTGTTTTAGTTGCTGTTCTAGTTGTTTTTGTTGTAGTTGTTCTAGTTTCTGTTGTGCTAGTTGTTTTTGTTGATCTAGCTGTTTTAGTTGCTCTTGTTTCAATTGCTTCTGTTCTTCTAGTTGTTGTGTTCGTTGTTTCTGTTGTTCTAGCTGTTCTAGTTGCTTTTGTTGTTCCAGTTGCTGTTCTAGATTTTTTTGTTCTAACTTTTCTAGTTGCCATTGTTCTAGTTTCCTTTGTTGTTCTAGTTGCTGCTCTAGTTGTTTTTCCTGTTCTAGCTGTTTTTGTTCTAGTTGCTTTTGTTGTTCTAGTTCCTGTTCTAGTTGTTTTTGCTGTTCTAGCTGTTTTAGTTGTTCTTGTTTTTCTAGTTCTTTTTGTTGTTCTAGTTGCTTTTGTTGTTCTAGTTGCTGTTGTTTTAGTTGCTCTTGTTGTTTGTGCAGTTGTTGTGTTAGTTGTTCTAATTTTTCTTGTTCTAATTGCTGTTCTAGTTGTTTTTGTTGTTCTAGCTGTTCTAGTTGCTTTTGTTGTTCTAATTGCTGTGCTAGTTGTTTTTGTTGTTCTAGCTGTTCTAGTTGCTTTTGTTGTTCTAGCTGTTTTAGTTTCTCTTCTTGCTGTTCATCTACTTGTGCTAGTTGTTTTTGTTTTTCTAGCTGTTCTAGTTGCTTTTGTTGCTCTAATTGCTGTGCTAGTTGTTTTTGTTCTAGCTGTTCTAGTTGTTGTTGTTCTAGTTGCTGTTCTAGCTGTTTTTGTTGTTCTAGCTGTTTCAATGGCTCTTGCTGTTTGTCTACTTGTGCTAGTTGTTTTTGTTGTTCTAGCTGATCTAGTTGCTTTTGTTGTTCCAATTGCTGTGCTGGTTGTTTTTGTTCTTGTAGTCGCTGTTGTTCTAATTGCTGTGCTAATTGTTTTTGTGCTTCTAGTTGCTGCTGTTCTAGTTGCTGTGCTAGTTGTTTTTGTTCTCCTTGTTGCAGTTCTAATATTTTTTGCTGTTCTAGCTGTTTTAATTGCTCTTGTTGTTGTTCTAGTTGTGCTAGTTGTTTTTGCTCTTCTAGCTGTTTGAGTTGCTGTTGTTCTAGTAGTTCTGCTAGCTGTTTCTGTTTTTCTAGCTGTTCTAGTTGTTTTTGTTGTTCCAGTTGCTGTTCTAGCTGTTTTTGTTGTTCTAGCTGTTTTAATTGTTCTTGTTGCTGTTCTAGTTGTTGTGCTAGCTGTTTTTGTTTTTCCAGCTGTTCTAGTTGCTTTTGTTGTTCTAATTCCTGTGCTAGTTGTTTTTGTCGTTCTAGCAGTTCTAGTTGCTGTTGTTCTAGACGCTGTATTAGTGGTTCCTGTGCTAGTTGTTTTTTTTGTTCTATCCATTTTAATTGCTCTTGTAGCTGTTCTAGTAGCTGTTCTAGTTGTTTTTGGTGTTCTAATTGTCGTTCTAATTGTTTTTGTTTTTCTAGTTGTTCTAGTTGCTGTTGTTCTAGTAGCTGTGCTAGTTGTTTTTGTTGTTCTAGCTGTTCTAGTTGTTTTTGTTGTTCTAGCTGTTCTAGTTGTTTTTGTTGTTCTAGCTGTTCTAGTTGTTTTTGCTGTTCTAGCTGTTCTAGTTGTTTTTGTTCTAGCTCCTTTTGTTGTTCTAGTTGCTGTTCTTGTTGTTCTAGCTGTTCTATTTGTTTTTGTTCTAGTTGCTTTTGTTGTTCTAGTTGCTGTTCTAGTTGTTTTTGTTGTTCTAGCTGTTCTAGTTGTTTTTGTTCTAGTTGCTTTTGTTGTTCTAGTTGCTGTTCTAGTTGTCTTTGTTGTTCTAGCTGTTCTAGTTGTTTTTGTTCTAGTTGCTTTTGTTGTTCTAGTTGCTGTTCTACTTGTCTTTGTTGTTCTAGCTGTTCTAGTTGCTGTTGTTCTAGTGGCTGAGCTAATTGTTTTCGTCTCAGTTGCTTTTGTTGTTCTGGTTGCTGTTCTAGTTTCTGTGCTAGTTGTTTTTGTTGTTCTAGCTGTTTTGGTTGTTCTTGTTCCTGTTCTAGTTGTTGTGTCAGTTGTTTTTGTTTTTCTAGCTGTTCTAGTTGCTGCTGTGCTAGTTGTATTTGTTGGTCTAGCTGTTGTAGTTGCTCTTTTTGCTGTTGTTCTAGTAATTGTGCTAGTTGTTTTTGTTGTTCTAGCTGCTTTTGTTTTTCTAGTTGTTCTAGTTGGTTTTGTTGTTCTAGCTGTTCTAGTTTCTGTTCTAATTGTTTTTGTTCTAGTTGCCTTTGTTGTTCTAGTTGCTGTTCTAGTTGATTTTGTTCTAGCTGTATCAGTTGCTCTTGTTGCTGCTGTTCTAGTTGTGCTGTTTGTTTTTGCCTTACTTGCTTTAGCTGTTCTAGTTGCTGTTCTAATTGTTTTTGTTGTTCTAGCTGTTCTAGTTTCTGTTGTTCTAGTTGCTGTTCTCGTTTTTGTTCTAAGTGCTTTTGCTTTTCTAGTTGTTTTTGTTGTTCTAGCTGTTCTAGTTGCTGTGCTACTTGTTTATCTTCTAGGTATTCTAGTTGCTGTTGTGCCAGTTGCTTTTGTTTTAGTTGTTCCTGTTCTAGTTGCTCTTGTTTTTGTATTACTTGTTCCTCTGGTTGTTTTTGTTTAAGTTGTTCTGATTGTCTTTGTTTCCGTTCTTCTCGTCGTTTTTGCAGTTGTTTTAGTAGCTCTAGATTTGGTTTAAGTCGTTTCCCTTCTTGTTTTTGTTTTTTTTGTTGTTTCCGTTCTTTTTGTTTTTCTACTATTTCTATTTTCTTTTCTTCCTCCTCTTTCTCTTCTTCTTTATCCTTTTCCTCTTTTTTTTCTTCTTGTTCTTCCTCTTTTTCTTCTGCTTCTACTTCTGCTTCTTTTTCTAGGAATATTGTTGTTACTTCCTCCTCCTCCTCCTCCTCCTCCTCCTCCTCTTCCTCCTCCTCCTCCTCTCTCTCCTCCTCTTTTTCTTCAAGAGTCACTTTTTCCTCATCTTTGGGCAGTTTCTCCCTGGAGCCTTCTGACACTCCCTCTTCCCAGAGCTGTTCCCATTCATCCCATATCCCTTTACTTTCATCCTCATCCATCCTTTTCTGATATGGAAATAACTTCTCTTTGACCTCATGAGGTTTCTGCTCTTCTTCAAGATGACTCTCAACCAGTGGTATGCTTTTCTCTCTTTCGAGCTGTTCTTTGTCCTCACTTGGTTTCTGCTTATCCTTAAGATATAGTATGCTTTTATCTTTTTCAAGCTTTTGCCACTTATCCCGCTCCTTCCAAGTCTTTCTTCTCTCATCTTTAACTGGTCTTTTTTCTATCTCAACCACTTTCTCCTTTAGTGCGGCCATTTCTATTTCTCTTTCATCCTTCTCTTTTCCTTTGACCTCCTTAATATCCGATTTTACATCCTTTGGGGCTTTTTTCATAATTTTCCTAGAACCCCTCTTAGACATCTTATCTTTTTTCAATTTCTCCCCTAGCTGAGTTGGGTCTGCTTTTAAAAGAATAATGCTCTTTTTCTTCGTTTCTTTGGGAATTTCCTGAGTTTCCTTCAAGTCTTTCATGTCTCTTGCTTTCTTTTGTTCTTCCACTAATATCTTTTCCCTGTGTTCAATCACCCTGTCCTTACTAATTGCTCCTTCATAAATAAAAGATGATTTCAACTCTGGCAAATCTATATCCCAGTCAGTTTTGTCTGTTTCTGTTTCTTCCTGCAACAAAGGACAGATCTTCTGAAAGAGTTCCCAGCTGGGACGCTGATCAGCTAGTACTGCCCGAGCTCTGCTCACCACTTCAGCACTTAAAGCTTCTGAAATTTCTGTTTGAGAACCAGATAACCTGAAGGTCATAAGACGACACAGATCATCCCGCCATGTTAAGCCCTCACCTTTATGGCCAGGCCTTCCAGAGATCCCTCGCCTACTGTCACTCTTAATATCTTTTTCTTTCTGTAGTTCTGGGATTGGAGCATGAGATTCTTCTGTCTTCTTCTTTTGTCTTTTTATGGGTTTAAAAAAACTCTTTTTTTTCTTGCTTTTTTTTTCACGTATTTTCCGCAACATCTTCAAGGCCACTGCAATATGATCCCTTGAGAGTTCTTTTTCTGAAAGATCTTGTTCATCTTTTGGACTCTGAGTTGAGGATATTTTTGAAGGGATGACTATATCTTCTTCCTCAATAGCTTCACTCTGATCAACTCCACTGTCTAATGGACCTGGTTCATGCTGATCAACTCCATCCTCTGGTTCAGTCTCCTTTGTCTTCTTGCTTCCCCGCAACAACTTTCGAGCTGTTGTGAAAAATCAGAAGATAGAGCTAAGGAAAGCATGGGTGGCTTAAATGAAACCCTCTCCAATATCTCGTGCTAAAAGAAACTTTCATAAAAGTAATAGCTATACAGGGGCCTTTAAGGAGTGGGTGAAATATTTTCAAAATAAAAAATACATTCTTGGCTAGAGAACTGGTACACGGTTTAGGATATTTTCCTTGCATGTAGCCAACTACAGTTTAATCCCAGTCACCACATATATGGTTCCCAGAGCATCACCTGGGTGATTCCTGAGCAAAAAGTCAGGAGCAATCCTAAGCACAGCTGGGAGGGACTCAACCCTACCCCAAAGACATTCTCCTTGTTTTATTCCCAGTTCTACACTCCTACACACACACAAACACACACACACACACACACACACACACACCCCTCATGAAGAATCATGTCAAGCTACCAATAGTATCTCGCCCGCACGGCAAAGCCTGGTAAGCTACCCGTGACATATTCGATATGCCAAACACAGTAACAAGTCTCACAATGTTACTGGGCCCACTCAAGCAAATCAGTGAACAACGGGAGGACAGTGACAGTGAGTTTGGGTAGATCTTCCTAAATTTTTTTTCTTGAAAAGTTCTTTCTACTTTATTTCTATTCTTGCCTATCTTTTGACCCCCTTCAACTCTATAGCACCTACTTTAGGAATCCCAAGACTAAAACAGATCACCCTATACATACATGGTTGTCTTTTCATCCCTGCTCGGTGCCGTCTATGGCTTTTGCTAATTTTAATGGCCATTTCCATATCGTCAACCATCTCAGATTTCTGTGATTCAAATTCAAAAGGCTTTGAAACTTCAAAAGAAAAAGAAACCATATCCTCTTTCAAGGTCAGGTCTTCATTTAGTCGCTGCTTTACTTGAGTGTGAAGGATTTGAAGATCTGGGAGTCGCATTCCCAGCAGCTGATCCAAACTTTCCTCCCCAACTATTTCCTGCCTGTGAAAGTCAAAGAATAGGAAAAATAATGCTGAATCAGGGAAGAGAAGGAGAATAAGGAAAGAAGTTCTGTGGAACCAGCAGGGTGCTTAGTAAAGTAGCCAGCAGAGACAGCATAAAGGATGAACAAGGAAAAAGGAAACAAACCAGCAAACAGACTGGAGTGATTATATGGAGACTGTGAAAATAGGAGAGAAGGATGAAAGGGGGAACTTGAAAAGATAGGAACTGACAGGAATAGGAAAGATATTGAATAAGGTGTATTATTTATTGTAATGAATAAAGATGCTAACTACTGTCAGTGAATTGTCAGGATAGTCTAGGAATGAAAAAAAGACTAAGAATGAGATAAAGGACCAGGAAAAACTCATGAACAAAGCAAGGGAAGGGTCTGGGAAAGGGTCTAAGAAAATTAGAAACTGGTAAAGAATTAAAGTCCAAGAGATAATACTGCACGTAGAGCTCTTGCTTTACACACAGCCAACATGGGTTTGATCCCTGGCATCCCATATGGTCCCCCAAAGCCCACCAAGACTGATTGCTGAGTGTAGAGCCAGGAATAACCTGAGCATCACTGCCAGATGTGGCCCAAAATGCCCCCCCATACACAACCACAAAATATATAATGAAAGAAGGTGGTAAAGAATTAAGCCAAAAAAACTTACTGCATTTCTCGGAATGTATCTCGGTGCTGGATTAAGTTTAAAAGTGAAGTCTTAGAATGGATACCAGTTTCAGGAATGAGGTTTAGGGCCTTATCCCTCACTTTTTTATCCTTGTCCATTAATCCTCTGGCCAGAGGCAAAGCAAAGAGATGAGTAATCATTCCTAAACGTTTAAATCCTTCCCAGGACAACTCTCGGATGTATGGATTGGAATTGGTGGTATCATCCAGTAGACGATGAGCTACTTCAGAGCGCAGGGCTGGAGATACCTGGTAAGAGGCAAAGATTTGCCCTAGTACACCAATACAGTTTTGGTACTTTAATGGAGTTGCATGAGCTTTAATGTTGAGGATTGTCTCAATCAGGTTATTTATAGCCATTTCACTCATTCTTCTTCCCAACCAATTGCGATTTCCTGCATATGTAAGGATTGAGAAGGTTGGATCTGTGGATATTCTTTTTTCTATTAGGTCTCTTTCCTCCTTTTGTTTTGGATAATGTTCCCACGGAGCTGACTCTTTATTCCAGAAAAAGAATTGTTCAGATTTGTCCCAATTTGATAAATTCCGTGTGGGTGAGTGCAGAGTACACTTTAAAAATACAGGGCTTCCCTCTGGCCAAAGTCGGGCACGAATCACTGAGTTGGGGATGTAACAATCAGGAGCAATGGGCCATTTCTGTCCATGACCAAAGTAGGACCTCAGTATCTGATAAAGGTTAAGTCCATCCCAGGTCATCAGCTTTAGTTGAGGAGTATCCTCATAATAAAGAGGTTCACTGTCCGTCTGATCAGTTTTCTCCTGGCTTGGGAATTCAGAGCTGGTTCTATGCACAAACACGGTGTTTCCTTTCTCACCTTCTTCTATGACATGAGGCACAGTTTGATCAAAAGCAATGGCCCGTTTATTGACAAGGCTATGTAGCCCCACTAAATCCTGTTTCCCGCATCCCCGGTAATTATATTTGGGTGCAAGTATATTCTCAAAAGATAAGAAGAAGCTTGGCATAAAAGGTTTTGCATATTCTAACACCTCATCTCTAATGTTCATTAAGGAAAGATTAGTCAACAGAGTGGGAGGAAGAAGTTTTAAACAAGACACTAGATAAAGACTCTGGTTGAAAGTCACAAGCAGATCTCCTCGATCATTTGCAAAACAAACTGGGCCAAAGTGCAGTGACGAGTCCAGCAAGGCTAGGAGTTTACCATGCAAGTTCCATACCCGGACACTGCCATCAATGCTACGAGTGACAAGAAGTTTCAAAGACAGGCAGACATCAAAAGATGTGATTGGACACTGGTGCAGAGGCAATGTCTCCATGACTGTTGCATCTCTCTGTATTTGAGAAGATAGAAAATCACTGAACTTCCAGATACGTAGGCAGTTAGACTGTGTGATGGCACCAACAGAGTTGGGCAAGAGCATCAGGTGTCTCAGATGACAGCTGCTGAGAATGCTTGTGAGGAGATAAATACTTACTTTGGAAGCCTGAAAACTAACTTCTGATAGATGTATATAGTCATCCATTCCATAGGAACAGAGCAGAGTGTAATTTCTGGCACTCTGAAGTCCCCCAGGAAGTGTACAGAGTGCCAATACAGCCCCAGCATGCATGAATTTCTCTGTTCGAGCAAAGTTCTGATGGGAAAGCACTTTTATCATACCACTCCGGTGCCCAACGAATATCAGTCCTATACCATAACCTAAGTAGAAAGTCCCATAAGCTAGGCTTTCTACTTTGTCTTGAGAGTCTGGTGAGGTGCATATGATATACTTAACTGGGCAAGGGCAGCGAGTTGTGTCAAATACCAGTATATCAGAGATACCTGTTGCCACAAAGAGCTCCTGGTTTTCTGGGTTATAGGCCCAATCCACAGCCTTGTCCAATAATGAGAAGGGCCAGGTGATAACCAGAAGTTCGCCTGTGAGCGGAGATATAAAGTGCATCAAGCCATCCTCAGTAAGGCATAGGATCCGGAAACAATTACCACCACAGTGGACACGACGCAGCTGCTGTGGAGGAGAGCCACAGACATTGAAGAGACTATAGAAGCAGGGCATACTGCGCAACGAGAAAGTATGGGTAGTCTGACAGAAGAAAGTATTTGTATCAATAAACTGGAGTGCACACAATTCCTCACCAAGATCTAGCCGCCGTAGCAGGTTCCCTGAAGTCAGATTCCACTCCTTGATTATACCTTCCATGCCAGCTGTTAGCAAGGTGTGGGATTCTGGCTGACTACGGATATATATCACAGACATGGAATGGGCTGTGAAACTGTGAAGAGAATGACCTCGTTGAAGGTTCCATACTTGGACTGCCCCAGTCTTATTTCCAGCATAGAGGAAGCCCTGACCAAAACAGATATAGCAGCAAGTGATAGAAGAGCCACTGATGATGGATGTGTACCTCTTCACTTCTGCCAGCCTTCCATGGGCCTGGCGCTCAAGAACCCTCACCACTGATTCACAGAGGGCTAGGAGGGTGCCACTTGGGCCATTCAACATGATGTCTTGGACAAGTTCATCACCAGGCATGGAGATCGTGGAGACCATTTGGAGGCCCTTGCCACTCTGCTCTATGGTCCAAGTGATGACTGCCCCTGTGACACCTGACATAAGCATCTTTGTTTCTGGGTCATAGCAGAGACAGCTGATGTTGAAGCGGCAGGGAACCATACTCAGGGATTTGAATGAACGAAAATGGTCCCCAAAGAGCCGTAGATTCAGGTCACCGCAGTAGGCCACAATTATATGAAAGGAACCAGTATGAACCATGGATTGAATTGGAGGCAATCGTTCCGTCATAGCGAATGTTCTTTTATCAACCATGTCTTCATCTTTGCTCTTTGTCCATAACACAGCCTAAAAGAAAATAAAAGGAAAACTGCCTAGAAAAGATGAGGGGGGGAGGGGTATGGTGCCACCAGCAGGTCATTCTGTACCTGTGAGGCAAGTGCATCAGCAGCCTGATGGCACCTTCAGACTTCCAGATACCCCAAAATTGCTGCTGTGCCTTTGGCCAGACCCCAAAAACTTGGGGCAAAGTTTACCAAGAAAGTAAGTGGCCAAAAGTTAGATATATGGGAGACACACCCACAAGCCACCTCCAGCTCAGCTATATAATTGGAGGCAAGGCCTCTCTGGCTCCTGATTGAACTGCTTAATGGCCATTATCTCAGAGACTCAGAGACAAATTGTGGAACCCAGTGACTTTTGGCAGAGATGCATCCGGTCCCCACAATGGGTTACAGGTGCCGGACCACCCCAGGGGGGAAAGGGTGTTGTTTGTCTGCCTGCCCCCCCTTGGTGGTTCAGTGACCGCCATCTTCCAGAAGCCATTGGACAGTTAGGTTTGGGCCCACAGTGATGAGATACTTGGGGCCTATGGGATGGGGGTGGAGCCGGCCCTTTCCTCCCCGCCCCAGTGAGACCCCGAGTCGCCGCCCACGAACGGCCTCTCTGGCTCCTGATCAAGCTGCTTAATGGCCATGATCCCATAGACTAAGAAACAAATCTTGGAACCCAACAGCTTTTGGCAGAAATATATCCAGTCCCCACAGTAGGATACCGGTACTGGGCCACCCCAGGGGGTAAAGGATGTTGTCCCTCCGCCTGCTCCCCGTAGATGGCTTGGTGGCCCCCATCCTCCACAGGCCATTGGATAGTCAGGATTGGGCCCGCAGTGATGAGACACATGGTACCTCGTGGGATGGGGGTGGAGCCGGCCCTTTCCTCCCTGCCCCAATGAGATCCCAGTCACAACGAATGAATGGCCTCTCTGGCTCCTGATCAAGCTGCTTAACGGCCATAATCCAAGAGACTCAGGAACAAATCTTGGAACCCAGCAGGTTTTGGCAGAAATCCCTCCAGATTTAATTGTTAAAATTTTGGAATTCCAAAATTGCGAGGCCACTACTGTGGCTGCACAACATCATATGTTATTCATAACCAGCAGTAGAAAACAAATTGTCTACCTTTGCCTTTTTGGCAGATCTGACTGTTGGGGTAAAATCCCAAATAGTAATGGTGAACCTGGTGTCAAAATATTTAATGTAATCAAAGTAGAGAGAGAGTAATGTGGAAATCATCTGCCCCATAGGTAGGGGGAGGGTGTGGATGGGGGGGTATACTGGGGTTTTTGGTGGCGGAAAATGGGCACTGGTGAAGGGCCGGGTGTTCCATTGTATGACCAAGACTTAAACCCGAAAGCTTTGTAACTGCTCTCACAGTGATTCAATAAATAGAATTGTAAAATAGGAAAAAAAAAAAACTAAGATGGAGTTCATGCCCAATTCAATCAGCCTAATCAATAGCTGAATACATAGTAATACTCCTACATTAAAAAAAAAAAGAAAAAAAAGATAGTAGGGGAATAGGCAGGCTATACAGCCTTTTCCCCTGTTCTTGTGCTAAGGAAAAATTGGAGTACTAGAGTGATTTTGCTCCCTGGCTATGGTGGTTGGAAGTACTGTAGGAGGAGAAAGCCTAGGACCCCTCCTTAACTGTATCTTTCATCAGGAGTCATAAAATCTATTGATCAGGGAGTCTGTCATTGGAGAATAGCCAATGGAGGGAATACTGGACCCAGATTTTTTTTCAAAGATGTATTTTTTTTGTTTGGAGGTTCTAGCAGGGGAGTGCATCTACTCGTATACCCTCCACTGAAGACTGGTCCATCTCTATTCGGAGAAGGCCTTCCTCTTCGACGGAGCACACAGCTTTGGGAGGGCCGCACATGGAGCGGTGAGGGAGGAAGGGGACACCTGCCTAGCCAGCCAGATCAGCCGAATCAACCCTGGCGATCAATGGGGTGACAGATGTCACAGCCAGATTGCCCTCACATATTTTAGGGCTGAAGCGATAGCACAGTGGGTAAGGCGTTTGCCTTGCAATCGGCCAATATGGCCAACCCGAGTTCGATTCCTCTGCCCCTCTTGGAGAACCCGGCAAGCTACTGAGAGTATCTCACTCACTCGGCAAAGCCTGGCAAGCTCCCCATGACGTATTCAATATGCCAAACACAGTAACATATATATTCAATATGCCAAACACAGTAACAACAAGTCTCACGATGGAGATGTTACTGGACCCGCTCGAGCAAATCTATGAATAACGAGAGGACCGTGATGTTGTATTTTTTTTTTTTGCCAATTTGGGGTGAGGGCTTATATTGGCGAAGCCCCTGTAGAATGGGCTAAGATCAAGGAAAAGAGAGACTATAAAGTTTGTCTGGGTCGGAGAGATAGTACAGTGGGTAGGGCGCTTGTCTTGCAATGTGGCTGACCCAAGTTGAACCCCAGCACCATATATGATCCCTCAAGTCCCACCAGGGGTGATTTCTGAGTCCAGAGCCAGGAGTAACCCTTGAACATCACCAAGTGTGCCTCCCCTTACCCTTTCTCCCCCCCAAAAAAGAGACCAGTTTTACTGGTATTTTTTTTAAATTCCAAATAAATTCACCTGTATTTCTTTCATGCCTGTTGTAGTCCAAGAGAGGGAAGCAAAATAGTCAGCATCACTGACATAATGACATACAAGTGGCATGTTTTGAGGATGGCGAGAATCTTTGTACAGTATTTCTGTACGGTCACTGAGGACAATTAACTCACTCCTTTGTTCTTCGCTGAGTTCCTGGGAAGAAGTATGGCATAAAATAAGAGGCCAGGTCACATTCTAAGTCATGCCACAATGAAAATATTTCCCAAAGTTATGCCTCAACCCCAAAAAACATTTCTATCATACCCACAAGTGTACAATTTATATTGGTGGGATGCCTATATTTCAAAAGTATATAAGAATATCCTCAACACAACAGGAAATCTAACCTCTCTAGGGCCTCAATGGACAAATGTGACAGTATGAGTACAGGAAAAAACCAATGTCCAACACAATATAAAGTTGGCTACACCTGTCTTCCAATATTCTCCTTTATATCTAAAAGTGGGTATGAAGGGGCCTAAATGATAGTGCAGCAGGTAGGGCATTTGCCTTGCAGGATTTGACCCTGGCAACCCATATAGATCCCTGAGCACCACCAGGAATACCTGAATGTAGAGTCAGGAGTAATCCCTGATCACAGCCAGGTGTAGCCAAAATAAAGAAAGAAAGAAAATAAAAATGGATAGCACTGTAGCACAGTCCTCCCGTTGTTCATCGATTTGCTCAAGCGGGCCCAGTAATGTCTCCATTTTGAGACTTGTTGTTACTGTGTTTGGCATATTGAATACATCATGGGTAGCGTGCCAGGCTTTGCTGTGCGGCAAGATACTCTCAGGAGCTGGAGTGATAGCACAGCGGTAGGGCATTTGCCTTGCACACAGCCAGCCCGGCTGAGCCAGGTTCGATTCTTCCACCCCTTTTGGAAAGCCCAGCAAGCTGAAAATGGATATCTAATGAAAAACACATTTAATCCAAGGCAAGTGTACTGCTTCACACATATCTTATGTAGTATTCTAAGAGTCGATGCAGTTTTAAGTTTCTTTAGCTTAAAACTGCACTAAATAGGCTGAAGAGATAGTACAGCAGCTAAGGCACTTGCCTTGCATTTGGCCAACATGACACTGCATATGATTCATCAAAGTGATCCTTAAGCACAGAGCTAGGAATAAGTCCTGCACACCTCCCAGTGTGGCCTAAAACCAATAAATAACATGAAGCTGCACTAAAGACTTTTAGATCACTCCTCTACCTGACCTTTAAATTTGTCAAAGAATGATTAGATAGACAGATATTGTGTGGATATTATCCCATAGTTAAAACACGTGCTTGGAAACTGCACTTGGGATCCTTTTCTACAGACACAACCATAGCAAGTATTTTCTCTCCTGCCTCCGTTCTATTTCATAAAATAATCGCTTTTCCTAGAGGACTATGTTCCACCATGTTTACTTTCCAGTATCCTTACAAGACAGTCCTGGACTCATTTGAAATTTGACAACTCACTTCCTACTAAGGTGACAGCTGTTTCTGGGATTTACCTTTCCTACTTAACTGCTTTCATGAAAAAAAATCTCTGGCTCCTCTGAAGTGCTCATAACCATAGATGGAGAGCAGTGACTTATATCTATATAAAAATTACCTGATTTTCTATTATGTCACTTATTTGATATTTAAAATCCTTCCACAGGGGAATGAGTCTGGAGGCAGTCATCACTGATTGTCCTGTGGTCCTTCTCAGGACTACTGCTTAAGAACCTGTGAGATAGGGGCCAGAGAGATAGTACAGAAGGTAAGGGGCTTGCCTTGCACAGTCGTCCTAGTTTGATCACCAGTATTTGGTCCCCCAAACACCACCAGGGATAATTCTTGAGCACAGAGCTAGGAATAGCTCCCTACCTGCTTAACCTCCCTGCAGAGCCCTCCACCTGCCCCACCACCAGCCCTGCAAAAAGAAAAACACGATGGGATTGATCATATTGAATATTGGCAACCCTTGGACTTCAATTGTTGAACTGACATTATCATGTCACGGTGATACAGCAGGAATGAAAGGTTAGAGCATCAGGTGGACTGGTTATTTTTGTTGCTATTGTTGTTTTGGCTTTGGAGCCACACTTGGCTCTAAATAAGCTGAAATAGTTAATCTAATTGATTATTTTAAATCAATAAAAGCAATAAAAGATCTCCTATTAAAATAGATAATGGAATGACTGGAGATCAAGGACCATGGCAAATAGAGGAAGGCCCCAGGCAGACAATCTCTCTCTCCACTCTCTCTCACTCCCTCTCTCTCTACTCTTTCTCTATCTCCCCCTCTCCTCTCCTGCTCCCTCCACATCCCTCCCCTCCCCCACTCTCTTTCTATACCTCCCCACCACCTCTCCCCCTCCACTCTCTCTCCTTCCCCCTTTCTCTCCCTCCCTCTTATACCAGAAAGCTGGCAAGACAGCCAGCATCTCACCAACACACATGGCCATGGCTAAAGACTAAGGAAAGTTGGTACTAAAGGGAACCATTGGGATACAGTCCTAGAGAGACCCAGGGACAGGATTTCAGACTAGGAGAGAATACACTCAATAGAGGATGGCATCAGGACAAGACCAGACCATCAAACACTGGAGATGAGCAGAGAGCGAGGGACAGTACTTAGGAAAGGGACCCAGACCTTTCTACTTATTGTACATTTTTTGGTTCGTTTTATTTTGGGGGCCATACCCAACCATGTTCAGAGGATGCTTCTGGCTCTGCACTCAGAAATTACTCCTGGCAAGGCTCAGCAGATCGTATGGGATGCTGGGGATCAAATTCAGGTCAGTCCAATACAAGGCAACCACCCTACTTGCTGTACTATCACTCCGACCCCAGACTCGTTTACTTAAACTGTGCAATAAACTTTAATTTCTTAAACTTCTGAATTTTGTATGCAATATTTTCATAAAGCTCAAGAATCCACGATACCAGGAAAAAATCCACTTTCATGCTAACATTGGAGGGTGATGGGGAAAAAAAGAGATGGATTAGAAGTGAAATGGGGGAGGGAGGAGCAATAGCTCATCGGGTAGGGCATTTGCTTTGCATGAGTCCAAACTGGGTTCAATCCCTGGCATCCTGAATAGTGCCCCAAGCATTGCCAGAAGTAATTCCTGAGTGTAGAACCAGAAGTAACTCCCAAGTATTGCTGGGTTTGACCCTAAAAGCAAACAAAACAAAACAAAACAAACAAAAAACTAGAAGTTACATGAGGACAGTCAGTGTTGGAGAGTCTTGAGCACTTGGTGGTGGTGGAGGTGCAGTAACTATGTACATTAAAGTCATACAAGTTTGGAGGGCCAGAGTGATAGTATAGTGGATAGGGTGCTTGCCTTGAGTGCAGGTTCAATCCTACAAGCCCCAGTAGGAGTGATTCCTGAGCACAGAGCAGGAGTAAACCTTGAGAGCACAACCTGGTGTGCCTCCTAACTCCCAGGGGAAAAAAACCCAAATGAACAACAACAAACCCCCCCAAATTATAGGTTTTGTTGAACGTGGAGGGGGGGAGGTTTGGTGCCACACCCAGTGGTGCACAGATGCTACTTTTTGGTCATGTACAGGGATCAGTCCTGGTGTTTCTTAGGGGACCATTTATGATACTGGGGATGAAACTGAAGTTGACTGCAGGCAAATCAAGCACCTTAATCCCTGTACTAACTCTCTGAGACCGAACCCATATAATTTAACAATATTATAACCATATTATCTAAACAATAAATAAATAATAACCTGTGGGAATTTAACAGAGTTCTGTTGAGCCACTGCAATTTGTTGAGGAGCTAGGATTTAGAAGGTGAGATCCATAAACTCTTGTTTATTGAACATGAAACTTTTTAATGTAAAGACTAGGTAAAAGAGACCAGAGATATAGAACAGCATGTAGGGTGCTTGTCTTGTACCTCTCAGACCTGGGTTTGATCCCTGGCACTCCATATGGTTCCCAGAGCCAGCCAGGAGTGATCCTTGAGCATAGAGCCGGGAGTAAGCCCTGAGCACTGTGAGGTATGGTCCAAAACCCAAAAAGAAAAGAAAACTGAATTTGAGTCATATGAATTACCCTTAAGGTAAGACTTGAAGTAACAATGATGATTCTTTTTTAGCCTGGCCTGGTTCTCAAACAAGTGGCCATTCATTTCTTTCCAACCCATACTTAGTATCAATTACTCTGGAAATGTGAGTTAAACTTACAGTTCTGCCAGCAGAGGGCAATAAAGGCCGTCTTTCTGCCTGCTAGAATTTTCCATTAAATGAGTAGTTCCCCAAAATGCCATCTTCAGGCCAGCAGCATCAGCTTAATCTGAGAACTTGTTAGAAATGTAAATCACTGACCCCACCCCCCCAGACTTTGTAATTGGAAATTCTGAGGCAAGATCCCAAAAACCTGAGGGTTTTTTTTAATTTTTAAAATTTTAGGCACTGTGGATTACAATACTGTTGATAGGGTTTTATGCATAATACAATCCAGCACCACTCTCTATAAATCTCAGTTTTTTAAAAAATTTATTTTTTGGTGCCAAGGCTTTATACATGTAAAGTATGTGGTATACCACTGAAGCCTTCCAAATCGGAATTTTAACAATTTCTCCAACTAATCTTATGAACAATAAAGTTTAAGAACCACTGCTTCAGAGAACAATGGGGGTCCCTGATCAGTTTGTCAGGGAATCCTAAGAAAAAATTAGCAGAACTACTTCTGACATGGCTAAGCCTACGGCCTATATTGCCACAGAAATGTGATGATCCGAAGCAGCAGGCAAAATGTATCATCTTATGTATGTAAAATGGGTAGACCCAACAAAAAAAAAACCAAGGTTTTCACACCAATCATATCATTAGTTCTCAAAGGAATTAAGATGTAGGGGCCAGGGGTGTGGCTCAGTAGTAGTGCATTGCCTTGATGTATGAAACCCTAGATTCAGGGCACTTCATGGTTTCCTGAGTCCTTCTGGAAGTGACCCCAAAGTACCAAGCCAGAAGGAGTCTCCAAGCACTACCAGCTGTGGTCAAAAAAGAGAGAGGGGTTGGGGCCAAAGTGATAGTATGGTGGTAGGGTGCTTCCCTTGCATGAGGTCAACCTGGGGTTTGTTCCCTGGCACTCCATATGGTACCCTGAGCTCAACCAGGAGTAATCCCTGAGTACAGACCCAGGAGTAAGCCCAGAGCATCACCAGATGTACAATAAAACAAAACAGAAAATGAGAGCGGGGCCAGAAGGGTAATATAGCAGGTAAGGTGCTTGCCGTGCATACATATGGCTGACCCAGGTTCAATCTCTGGCACCATGTATCATCCCGAGCACCACCAGGAATGATTCCTCAGAACAAAGCTAGGAGTAACCACTGGATGTGGCCGAAAAGCAGAGAGAGAGAGAGAGAGAGAGAGAGAGAGAGAGAGAGAGAGAGAGAGAGAGAGAGAATGTGTGTGTGTGAGAGAAAGAGAATTTCCATTTCATATATATGAACATGAATTTAGAGAGAAAAGTTGATACGTTCAAAGATTCTACATCGAATTCAAGTCCAAATTTCAACCCACAGTTTAAGAGCCAGAGGAGGAGGTTCTGCCAGCAACAGCAGGTCTCAGACACATCAATGCAATATTTTTTTGGTTTTTGGCATTTGGCTTTTGATCACACCCAATGACCTCAGTGGTTAGTCCTCATTTTGCATTCAGGAATTACTCTGGGCAGTGCTTGGGGGACCATATATGCTTGAACTTGGGCCAGGAGCATAAAAGGCAAGTGCCTTAACCACTGTACCATCTCTCCAGCCCCTGTAATGCTGCTTAAATTGTGGGTCATGGCCCCATATGAGTTATGAAACAATATAGATATTATAGAAATTTTCTTTTAGAATAAATCTATGATTTATTGACTAACACAGCAAATGTTTGTCTATTTTACACACAAATGTTTGACTATTTTGTATGCCTACTTACACATGGTCAAACACAATAACAAGTCTCACAATGGAAACGTTACTGGGCCCGCTCAAGCAACTCGATGAACAACGGGAGAACGGTGCTACAATGCTACTTACACATGGTCATAGAAAAATTTCTGAGACAGGGGTGGGCAGAAAGTAGAGGGGTTAAAATGTTTGCCTTGACTGTAGCCAACCCTGGTTTGATCCTTGGCAATACATATAGATGTGGGTTCCAAACAAAACTAAAACCAAAACCAGAAAAATTTCTCAGGCAAAAAGTGAAAAAAGATTAAGAAACCCTGCGCTAAAGAAGACTGGGATTGGTTGTCAGAAATTAGCGGTTCTTGTCTCTCTCCAAGGCTGCATGCTGCCCTCCTCACTTATTTCTTTCTATTCTGCCACACTGTACTTGATGCTTTCGGACCCTCTTTCAAGAGTCAGTAGAATTAGCTTCAGACCCAGCACATCAATGGATGCCCCTCAGCTCCAGATCTCCAGTGTACCCCAGCTGGCTTCCTTCTAAGGTCCCAGAGCTACAGAGAAACAGTCATTTGTAGCAAATTTACCTTCACTGTCATCAGTTCCCATTGTTCCTAATCTCTCCCCTGGGTCAGGCCTCTCTTGACTAGCCTACAAAAGAGAATGGATAGGACCATTCTGGGCACATCCCTAAGGGGATACAGTACACCTAAGGGGTATACAAGATAGAAATCTCTTGCTTATTTGTTTGCAGCTCTCTTCCATCCCTTTACACAAGCTT